CCTCCTGCCCTCAATTTATTCACTGCCATATACAGGGATCCCAACCTGAGATAAGTCATTTCAGGGAGGTGCCCTCTGGTGGGGGGGGGGGGAGGGGTGCAACAACAAGCAAGAGAGCACCCCCCTAAAGTGATGGCAGATAGCAAAGAAGCTAATGCTTCCTTTGCTATATGCTGGGGTTTTTTTGTGTTCTGACAGCTGCTGCCATCAGGACAAAAAAAAAAACGGCATGAGAACTAATAGCTAGATTGCTATTGGCTATTTCAATTTGCAATAGCCAATAGGAAGCTGGCTATTGCACCCGCCCTCTGCTGCTGTCAATCAGGTGGACCTGATGGAGAACTTGGACCTTCGGACGAACCTGCAAATCAACGAAAATCAGTTTATTCGGCGGTTCGTCCTAATCTGAAATAACGGATTTATTATATGCCCGAATATATCAAAACTATATTCGGGCATACATAAATACGTTTTCAGAACGTGCGTCGGCCATATTGGCCGCCTGCGCGTTCTGCGCATGCCCGCCGCCATCTTGGAGGCAGAGCGTATATCGTCACATGGCGGCGACGTCACACGGTGAACGAGCAGTGGCCATACCGGCTGCTGGTGCGTTCTGCGCATGCGCACTGCCATTTTGGAGTATATCTTGGTATACACCAAGATGGCGGCGCTCGAACATGCGGGAGGCGCCATCTTGGTGTATACAAAGATATACTGCAGAACGAGCGACGGCCATACATTTTTAACTTTAATTTTTCTACTTTTTTCATTGTTTTCTATTGTGCTCGGTACCACCTCGTTACTCGCTGCTCGGCGGCATTCGGCTATTAACTCACTGCCGTTCGGTGCCTATGTGAATAGGGGCGAACGGCAGCGAGTGAGCTGCTGGAGGTTCGGCTCAGCCGATCCAGATGTTGGATCGACTGAGTCGAAGTCCTTCTGCACTTCGTCTCAGCCGAACATGGGCTATAGTGAACACAGTAAGGGATATAGAATCCTCCACCCAAAGACTGACAAAGTGACAATTTTGCATTTATTTCAATGAGATCCCATCACCAGAAACAATGATCCCGGGGAGTTGTGAAGTGAATTTGCCCAGTGAACCAGCAAAGGAAGCTGAGCAAAGCTGCACAGGAGTCAGAACAAAAAGTAGAACTCACAATAGATAACTCAAATTCCATGTTGAATGAACGACCTGGAATTAGAAGATCCAGTCTGGCAACAAAAGGAATACCACCCTGCAAGCTCTCATATACAGCTAACACACAATCAGAAAGGGTCAACCATAGAACCAAGCACATCGACATGAAGTATCATCTGCTAAAAGACACTCAAGCGCAAGCAATTATCGACATGCAATATTGCTCATCAGAAGAAATGGCTGTGGACGCACTTACCAAGCCATCCTATCCATTCACTAAAGGGTTAAATCAATTTTTTTTACAAATACTTCAGACTTTTGGAAAAAAAAAAAAGTTTTTGACAAGTCTTTCATTTAATAAAAAAAAACTCCAGAAGAAAATGGAGAAAATGGAAACAAATCCACCGATGTAATCCAAGGTACATCACGACGTCCAGCGTTGTCCATGACAACGACCACTCGACAAAATAAAAAATAGAAATAATATTTTCAAAACCTGCCTCCTGCCAACCCGTCCGCTTGCTGACAGATGCTGAAAAAATATAAACAATTGGGCATTGACATCGCCGCTAGCTCTGCCCAACTGTTTACATTTGTTCCGCACCTGACAGGACTTAGCTGTGCCCAATCATGGCTCTCACAGTGCACTGTGCTGTGATTGGGTAAAGTCTTGCATCTGACCTGTGATCAGGTGCATTGCTTTACCCAATCAGGGATTCACAAGGACCTGTACGGTGCGCAGTGCCTTGTGGGGCACTCAGCGGGCGAAAAGCCCGCCAAACGCCCTGATAGTTCGTGTGTTCGGTGTTGCTTGACTCGAACATGGAGACCATCCCTAATTAGAATATGCTATTGCATTTCCAACACTTAAGTCATCTTGTTCTATACACAGTGGGGGGAATTCATCAAAACTGGAGCAGACAACATCTGGAGCAGCTGTGCATGGCAACCAATCAGTTTCTCTCTTTCATTTTCAAATCTTGACTAAACAAACTGAAAATGAAGCGTATTGGTTCCCATGGGCAACTGCTCCAGATTTTGTCTGCTCCAAATTTGATAAATTGCCCTCAGTGTATAGGACATTAGGGTGCCATGAGACATTCCAATGCAACAGCAGAGGAGGAGACAGGCATGAGGAAGTGGTGTCACAGCTGGCCAGCTTGGAGGATCGGGTGAGTATGTTATTTTTGACCCTAGTCAAAATTAAGTTTAAAACTAAAAGCATACACAATATATACAAAGGATTAATATAAAATGAATAAATGAGTGCTGCAGGCATATTTTTAATAAACAAAATCACAATATATTACTATTATATTGCTTTTTATATTACACATCAAAATGCTAATAAAATGTTACGTACCTTATTGTAGACCTCATCACCTCCTCCCCGCCTCACGCTTGCCGCTGCCAGACCCGCCCGCCCGCATCCACGCTCCACACACCGCACCTCCTCCCTGCCTCACATCACCCGACCATTCACACTATCGTTACATGGATGGCAAAAGTGGCAGACGGGCAAGGAGAAGGCGGGGGGAAGAGGCAGAGCGGGAGGGAGGCCAAGTTGCTGCACCATGGGCCTCCAAGTTGTACTTGCCCCCTGGGCTAAAAGTTGCCAGTCAGCCCCTGACCCCATGACACCATCACTGAGTCTCTATGCTTCTATATATAATGCAGTCAGATCATGGCTGGTGGGAGGGGCTGTACATAGCATCCTGAAAACATCACAGAACCCTGCATCAGTAATCCTTTTAGGAGCCCTCAGCCTTGATCCAACAGAGGGCTGGCTCTGGAAATAGTTATGCAAATATCAAAATCCTTCATTGGTGGTTGTCAGTCTGAAGAAGCCGGCATTCCTAAGCAGATTGCATTTGCATGCAGGCCACCCTTTGCATGCAGGCCACCCTATGTGCTACCCACATGTAAAGCTGACCCTCCATGATTAAAAGAAATAGGGATGCACCAAAATGTCCTCGCCAAAACATTTCTGATGAAAATGCGACCAAAAATTCAGTGCATCCCTAGCTTCTCTCCTCCCCGCTGGGTGCCTTTCTGTGTGCCTTCCGGTGCAGCGACCAGTGCCCAGCAGGGAGGAGAGAAGCTTTCAGGAGGTTGAGCGGTGACAGTAGTGTCAGAATGCCGAGCGGTGCGGGTGGTGGCAGCTGTTATCTTCAGGAGGTGGAGCTCTCCTCCCTCACCTTCCGGCTCCGCCTCCTGTGTCAGAATGCCGAGCAGTGTGGACAGTGACAGCTGTCACCCTCAGGAGGCGGAGCTCTCCTCCTGTACCTCCCAACTCCGCCTCCTGTGTCAGCCCATTCAGGATGGAGAGCGGTGTACAAACACTTAGACATCAGCTGATCGTTGAATGTTTGTAAATAACTGGGCATAATATGCTAACTATGTCCCAGGTATGAATGAATGGAAAGTGATCTACATCACTTCCTGTTCCTTCCTGATTGTGGACATGGTAACTTACACGATAACCTCAATGTATGAATGGTCAGGAAATTGCAGATTTCGAGGAAGAATGTAGACAGAAAGTCTGAGGATCAAAAACATATTTGAGTCAAAAGAAATTATTTAAGACAATCAGATGAAATTGATCAGATTTTGCACAAATATTGGGCTCATTTGACACAAGATACAGATTTGGAAAAAAAATCTGAATGATCACACGATCACAAGTATCAGTGACAGAGATGAAAAAAATTCAGATATATATTGAGATAAATTGGCATGAAAGGAAGGACATGGAGGAAGGACATAGTGATAACATTTTGGGGCCTTCAAATGGGGAAAAAATTGTCTTTTATATTTTTATTCTTAGTTATTACATTAAGGAGCCAGGTAAGGATAGTATGAAATAGAGATATGAAAAGATGCATGGATAGTAGAGGATCTCTCTAAGATTTATAGATAGACAAGACTGAAACATGTCCTTGTATACATTTTATTTGATTAGGATCAATTGAGAAATATATATATTGTAGAACATACAAACGGGGAAGGAAGGTTTATAAAGTATATGATTTGTAACGAAACAAATATATAATGGGGAATTTTTCCCCATAAGGGGATCCCACCATTATTTCAAAATATCCAGCAAAA